TTCTCACTGATACCACCCGTTATTACCCCATGAAGGTAATACACGCTCAGTAATTTATTAATTATTAAATATATCAACATCTTCCTCTATATATTTCACTTTGAGTCTGTACTTTTCAACGTGGTCTATGGGACTTATTTCTGCCATTATTCTAAGCCCTAAGGAATCGAAGACTAGTCAACAGTGATAATTCCCCAGTTAATATTTTCGTTTTATCTCTCATATTGTTTTCGTTTGCGATAGAACTTGTAAGCTGCTTATATATATCGTTAGATTTGTTCAACATGTCTATAATATTCGCGTCTCCTATAAAATATAATTATGTATATGTATCTCTCCAATTATGACGTCACAATTATCTATAATACTCTCATTTCCTGTATAATTTTCTAAAATTATATATGACAGACAATCAACGAGCTGTTCGTATTTTTTATTTCGAATATAGCGTCTTTTTTCTTTTAAGAAAAATATTATGTTAACAGATGTGCATGTGAAGATTTAATTATTAATTTGAAAATATAAGAAAACAATATTTACAATTTGCAATCCAATGTACCGAAGTTTTTCCATAAAATATTCAAAACAAATTGCAACTGCATGGAATAGTCCGTACGGTCCTTCAAAGCAACACTTTCATATGACATGACTGAATATGAGGCTGAAAAAATATTATTAAAACATTAAAATTACTGTAATCTAAAGCAGTTACCGAGAAGTTAAAGCCAACGGGCAACGAAGATATTCTAAAAACGAGAGAAGATTAGTTAAATAGAATTATTGTAAATTAATAGTGATAGTTGAATTATACGTACCCATTATCGAGTTCTTTATTTGTTTCAAGAACTGTTCTTATAACTTGCAACTGATTCAGTAAGGCGGGGGGAAATCCTTTAATAACTTTTTCTAGATGAATTAAACTCGACATACCTAATTTCTTGTATGACCCTAGATGATCCGGCGGACTTCGTACCGCCCTATAATCAAGAAATATCTGTTACCTTTTTATCTCAATGAAGTTAATTTCTTAATAATTATGTACAGCTGATTTGAATGACAATGGTCTTTCTTCTTCTTATATATTATATGTATGTTTAAATTAATACTATAATAGTATAAGTCTTTAGTATTTCGATAATCTGTCCCGATCTCAACTAATAACATTCAAAAACAATTAAAAAATGTAACATTTATATTTTTATGTACAGTAGAAACTCTTTTAATCGGACTAATTATTATCGTGGAAAGGCATTCGGATAATCGAAAATCTGGATAATCGAATGTATGAAGATAAGACGGTTTTGTGCTTATGTAGTTCATAATATGTTATATGTTTATTTTAAAAATAAATTACAATATGTATTTGGTGATATGAAATTGGTAATCATGAATTATAATAATAAGTATAATTTGGTTTAGAATATTTGTTAATTGTCATTTGACGTACGCCACTCTCAACAACACCACTCTCTTACGCTTGGACATTTCTTCTTGTCCGTAGTCCGGATAACCGCGAATCCGTATAACTGAGGGCCTCATAATCGAGTAACCGTAAAACCCGGTACGATCGATCCTGGGAACACGGGTTCGATACTTTATATGTTTTCGTCGATTTTGCATTAAGTTTTCTTTTTTTTAAGATTTATTCTGCTATTCGGGACGGAGACAAATCCAACGAACCAAAAACCGTGAAAATTGGTCTAGCCGATCTCGAGTTATATGTGTAACAAACACGACTTTCTTTTAAATACAATATAGAGTATAATCGCATATTGTCGTTTTTCTAGAGATGAAATGACCAGTAAGAAAAATGCACGACCAGTAATAAAATAACTTATTGTGATGTCTCATAGATTATAACAAATATTACTGCCCAGGCCGAGCCTCACACATCCCTTCCGGCCCCACCAAGGCCGGTTGGACGGCTCGTAAAAAGAGTTTCCACTACGTCATCAAAAAAAAAAAAAAAAATATTAGTAATTTAATTTAAACAAATTCTGATATATTTTCTATATTCGAATGCAAAATATACTTTTACAGGTGCACTAATTCACACAAGCATAATATGAATATTTTCCAGTACTAGCCCAGTAAATTGTATACGGATTTGTTATTATGATATAATTTGAGAAATAAACGTACATATATTTTTAATATTAGTTGACCTTTTTAATGTGCATTAAATTCACGTTGGTATTGAATAGAAAAAATAAATATATAATGAGAGATTTTAGTGATTACGAAAATTGAAAGCTAGACACACTCTTTTAAATATTTCATATCTAAAAAGTAGTTGATGTAAAAACTGCTCTGATATCAAGCGGACCTTGATATCTCTACCAGGGGGTTGGGTCAGACCTGTAGTTGCTGTAGTTCAAGCTATGGTAAGCAACAAGAGGGCAGTGGCGTGCACACAGATTAAAGGTACGGTAAACCGTAAACAGAATATGTTTGAAAAATAACACCAATTTTCATCATTTTTTCCCATAAAACATTGATAATAATTATCATTAAAATCTTTCGCAAGTATTGATTTAAATTTAGAAATGAAACTAAATGAAACTAATGTTTTTAACGGGCAGACGCGATGTCTGTCGTGATCAAGTTTGCTGCAAAGTAATCGAACCGTCGGAAGTATACTACGCGGCACGAAACCTGACCTAACATGGCGTCCTCTGCGCAGGTTTAGTCGTTGTGAAAATCACGTAGGTACTATCTAAAAATAAACAGTAGGTACGTAAAAAAACAACTGGTTAATTATTTTGTCTTTAGCATTATTAAAAAACCGTAAACATCGTAAATAATTTTTCGAGCTTGTCTTTTTAGAACTATATTATTTTTTCTTGGCAATTTAGTAAAATTCGTTAAAATCTTCCTATAATAACAAAAGAAAGAACCCACAAAATCAACAAAACAAAAACATACGACGGGAGACGCGGTGTCACTGCGCGGGGCCACGCATCCACCCGTTGCAATGGTTCTACAATAGTAATGGCGGCCTTGTTTCATGTTTGCTACAGTAAGTACCTAGTAACGCGTTCCTCGCCTCAGACCGCACATCAAACGACATCTATTATTTGTTACTGCGCAGGGTCAAGATTCGGCCCGGATATTATATGTAGTTTTAAAACATAATAAGATATGTACGCGAAGTAATCAGAAAATATTAATTTCATTTAAATATTGATAAAATTCGCGCATTATGTTACAGTAGTCCGATCAGAACGAACATCTATACTATCTATAGGTACTTTATGAATCTCTCAACGAGGTACCTCTGAGCCACGAAAGTACCTTAAAAATTAAAACGATTACGATCTGTTCCTCACAACTTTAAAAAGTTATTTAAATAGGAATATCCAGTGGACATTTAAACATTCTAATTATCATTTGAAAAAAAAAACAAACAAGGCAAACAAAGTAACTTGTTTTTGTGTACACAACCTGCTAACTAATTAAAACTATCATAATACTTTTCATTAAAATGAATAACATTACCTTTCTTTTAGTTCAATATTAACTGGTCACAAGTCACAACACACACGCCTTCACTTTACACTTATTTTAATTTTATTACCAAACGACAATATTGAAAATCTACTCGTACCTAACTAATTTCATTAATCACATATCACAAGCACAGAACTCACAGCCATAATGTTCTATAATTCGTTAATAAATTAATCCACTGTTTACTAATTAAAACTTATTCACTTGTGCTTAGAAAAACAAATGACAATGTCACAATATTCAATAACAATAAAATGGCGAAAAAATATATGAACAGTTTACCGACCAATCAGAGAGCTCCATTTCATTTGACAATTAACGTACTTTAAACAATACAAAATAATCAGTGCTTCCAGTGTTACCATGGCGCACAGGTAGTAAAGGCGGGAAAGTTGAAATAAATTCATGAGCTTATTTGTATTGGGTTTATATTCATTAAATTCGTACTATTATTTAACAATAATTTAGTTTAAATAGAAATTAAATTCAATTATTGAAGTACAAATGGTCAAGATTTTTTTATGTTTATTGATTGCACTTTGTTTTAAAAAGTATTATTAAATAATTAAATACTATGAAATATTATCTTAATAAGTACTATAAGATAACAGTATTTAAATAAATTTTAAATATTACATATTTGTTATAGATAAACCTTTGACAGAACTGAGTTGATTTTTAACATACTAAAATAGGATAAATTACTTAATTTAGTACTTCAATCAAGTTGACAGACTGAATGAGGGCTTCATCACTCTTTTCACATGTTTGTACGTCCTCCGAGCTTTCGTAAATTTTGTTAGTAAAAAGCTGAAGCATGTACTCTGTAGGTTTTTATTGCTTGTAGGTAATTTTTACAGCAATATCCGTTTACACTCATGTCAATTATTCTGATGCGAATCAACGCAACGAGCATAGGCAGCATCATTCGACTGCGGAGTTTCGTTTTGACAATAGACATCACACTAAATCCTCTTTCAACATCAGCATTGTTAATTGGTAAAGAAAGAACTCTTATTAGAAAAGAAGCTAATTCTTTAACCCCTTGCTGCATGAATTATGAAAGAGATGAAATAAATTTTTTTTTTTGGCAAAAATGTGTTTATTGTAGCTTAATTAGTGAGATCAAATCAACAAAAAAAAATATTAGCTTATAATTCAAAAGTTAGTAATCAACGCCATATGTGGCTTCGTATGCATTCTAGCCATATACGCTTCGGTCAAATATGGCTTCGTATGCATTTACGTGTAAAGTATTTTATTCCTCGTGAAATTCTTTGTAACAGTTGCGTTTGTCATTATAGCACAAATAAACATTACATTTTTCACATAATGTAAAAGAACGAAATTTAGAACAATTTTGGCATATTTGTCGGGCATTCTTCTTCCAAATCGGAAAATGGCTAATCCCATCGGTACGCACGGACGCCAAAGGCAAGTCTTGATGCCTAGCTGGCGTTTTTCGTGTCTTTTTTGCGGGAACTGGAGATTCAGGAATACGGGAGGGAGTGCCACCCCGGCTTGGATGTCGGAGTTCCAAGAATGCTCGATGGACGACCACGTTTCTTGGTCATAACTGCTTTTCCTGCTTTATGCAAATGTTCGGAAACGGCCAGTTTGAAATCATAAAGTGGCATGTAAGAGTCAGCATTGATTCGGCGCCATAACAACCAAGCATTGACAAGTGTCATGTCCACCATGTGAAAAAAAATCCTCTTGTACCATTGACGAGACCGCAAATGGATTCTATAATAACCCAGCATAGAATCTAGTAAATCCACTCCTCCCATATGCTGGTTATAAACATCTACAGCTTGGGGTGAAGGTATGTAAACATATTCTTTATCTTAGCGAACGTAACGCCGCTTTGTTGTTGTGGGTTCACTTCCAACGTAGGCTGAAAGAAAAAAAAAGAAGAAAAATCTGATTCTGACTCCGGTATAATGATATGTCGTTTAGGAGTTAAACTAATGGAGCCAATATTACAATTATCGTCACAATCCGAATCAACATCATCGTCACTAATGTCACCATCACCTGGAATGATGTTTACATGCTTTGCAGTGCCATAAAAGCGTGCTGGGTCCATTTCTAGAACAAAAAAGAAAGAAGCCTTAAATGCATACCAAGCCAAATATGACAGTACCACTTTTGACCATAATGCATACGAAGCCAAATATGGCAATTTTGAAAAAGTAGATAATTACGTCGAAATATGCAAAACAAAGCAAAAATCAAACATTCACCGTTTATAAGAAAGATAAAAGAATACTGTGGTATTTTTTTCAACCGTTTACTCACCTTTTTGATATGTTTTTTTTTAAATTAAAAATTACACTTTTTTCGCTGCACCTGCTCCGCCGCACGCGCTCAACATAACCTTAAAAATATTTGACAGCTGACATTTGACATGAATGAGTTAATTACATTCCGTTTCACCATAAAATTCCGGATCTGTTGTTGGTTAAATTTTAAAAATCGGACATACCAGTAGCTTGTAAAAAAAATGTAAACTTGGTCATCCATATATGGTTTCGTATGCGGTAAGGGGTTAAAACTTTGGTTTCCCGATGCATCTCGAAAGTTCCATATCGCAATCCAAAATTTAGTTATTTCAACATTTTTGTCTAACTCAATTGATATATCACGTAAAAAAATAGAGCCAAATCGGATACCTGTAGCCAGGGGATAAAATAACATCACCGCTCGGTTAGGAATAGAATAATAGAATTGGCGCTAAATAGCCCCATCTGGCAACACTGAGTGAATTAATGTCATTTTAAATGTCTATTAAGATTTGTATTTCGTAATGTATGATTAAAAATATGTAAGTAAAAATTAAACAATATAGGTTTAGTTGTTATATAAGTAGGGTATGCTCAACAAGGTACATTATTATTACAGGTATCATTTTCAATAATTTACCGTCGAAAAACGAATATAGTGAAAGCCGAAAACAAAATGATAATATGCAAATTTTAGCCTTTGATTCATTTATCGAAATAATATAGTGTTATAAAACAAAAATACAAAGTTATATTGTTAAATTTTGGCGATAGTATCGTAACTTCTTTATTCTAAGATTATATTTTAGGTTACATATTATTTAATGGTTTATTATTTTCTCTTTATGTAATCTTGGATTTATATTACTCTACAAAAGTCCTATGTATCTACAGTGGTAACCATCACATATTTTGTATCTGTTATTTCACTGGTTAATATGAATAAAAATAAATAAATCTGAAAGAATACCGTTTACTATCACGTTGCCGAAGACCATATTACTGTATTTATGTACTAGTTCTGGTGATGACTGAAATGATATAGTGATGCCTGTTAATGCCGTCTACATTTAAGGTCACGACTATGACTATGTTCAAAATGAATATTTAAATTTTCAAAGTGAAGAAAAAGTGATAAATAAATTATACTTTTTAAAGGTTTTATTTGTTTACTTTAATATGAATACAAACAAAGTGTAGCGGAGTAACTTAGATTATGTGTTGTATTGTAAATTTAAAATATCCATTTCTATACATACATATTTGTTTATTAATTGTTTAAAATAAATAAAAATATTTTTAATTCTTGCGACGGACAAACTTCTTATTAAATTGTACATATGTATATAGCGAGGATGCGAGCTGCGTCTATTGTTCGCGTCGTCCGGGCCCGCGCACCTGTAGCCCCGCTGGCCCCCGCCTGCCCCGCTAGCGGCCGCGGGCACTACAGTGTTGCCAACCGTACGATTTAAATTGTATTTATACGACATTTTTGACTCTTGTACGATGTACGATCGAGTTATCGAAATCTTACACAAAATATACGATTTTTTAAATGAAGTCTTACGAAAAAATAAATCTCCAATAAAACTATAAGGAATGTGTAAAACTAAAATGTATTCCAGAAACACTAAATAAGAATTTGTTAGCTGCAAAACATATTAAAGAAAAAGGATCGTGTATAAACTTCAAGCCATCTGACGATATGCTGAGCAAATTAAATTTAAGTATGTACAAAAAATATAATGCTTTTCCCGCATCTGCTGTGCCTAATAAATCAGATAGTGACTAAAGCAATTCATTTTTTTTATGTTTTCAAAATATATGTAATTAATGAATATCTTAATTCCACATATTAATTGATGATTAATGTTAATTGAAAATTAGAATTAAATTCCGTTTTTATTTGATATACTTACGCAGTTTTATTGAAATTTCATCGCGTACGATTATTTCCTTGAATTTCAAGACAAAATACTATTTTTTTAGTGTATAGTACGATCCTCTAAAAAATAAAGTTGGCAACACTGGGGAACTGCGCCGAAGTCCGTACTCGACACTCGTCAGTCCGCATAGACTTTAGCTGTGTAACGTTTGTCCGTCATCGCTACGGCGACACTCGCACGCGCACGCTCGCTTACGAAAGATAATCTCCTGTATTAATAGCTTTTAAGTAGTTTAAATTGCTAAACTTTGTTAAATTCGCTAAAAATATAAATTTATACGGCAAAGAAATATAAAGACAAAATACTATTTTAATATTGATAGAATAATCGCTTAACTCAATTATCAGATTAAGATACTATCATTTAGCTCATAATAAAGCATGTACGTGAATAATTGTTCAATATTAATTTAATCCATAATGTGAAAAAAGATATAAACATTATTAAACTAAATTTGTAATATAATAACTATAATGAAACTTGAATAATTTTTATATCCTAAACAATAAATTTCTAGTTCAACTTTTTATAAATAGAATAGTTTTTAAAAAATAAACGCAGAATAGAAATGCTGTGTGTTATATATTTATAGTAAAATAAAAGCTTCAAAAATATTGTAACTACTTATTATTATTTCAATTAATATTACCGTATATTGTTCTCTTGATAGTTACCTAGAAGGTTAAATAAATATTTTTTATTTTAAAACTTTTCTCAAAAACTATCCGAGATATCTTAAACCCGGTAGATGACCCGATGGACTTCGTACCGCCCTATAATCAAGAAATATCTGTTACCTTTTTATCTCAATGAAGTTAATTTCTTAATTATGTACAGATGACGCGAAAGACAATGATCTGTCTTCTTCTTATATATTATATGTTTAAATTAATACTATAATAGTAAGTATATTTGTTGGCGCAAGTGCCTGTTAAAATTGTGAAGCAATTTAGTATATGGAGGTTACGGAACGATTTAGATGTAAGGCGCTTTGTTTATTGTAATTTTAATTTTTTACTTACCCTGTCATAAAAATATGTAACACAATAAAATTATCATTGCAACTAATCTACGCCTTTTAATATCTCCTCATTAAATACTATCAAAATCCGCAACAATATCTAACAAAAATTAAATTCCTATTCCCTCTTGTGATAATAGTCAGTATAAATAGTGTTCAACAACGTGTTTTGCACACAAAAAAGAAATGAAGCCTTACTATATAATTATAAAATAAATTAAAAAATATTTATTGTTTGTTTATAGCGTTAAAAGTTTCAAATTATACGAAGTGAGGTTCACGTCGTAGCAGAAGTTGAAGAAAAATTATGAAACTCACAAAGACATGGAATAAAAAATGGAGAACTAAACTTAGATCCTATATCTAAGAGTCCTTTTCCCGAAATTTCCTAAAAATATCATGTTTCTTGTTTTATTTAGTTAATTTTTGATACACACGAACACGCGTTCGTTTCGCAGAGTAAGCAGCACTCTATATGATACTTTATCTATATAGTAATGCTAACCCGGAACTCTTAAAATTTAATGTGTTTCGCATACTTGATAAATTATGAAATACTAGCTTTTGCCGCGGCTTCGTCCGCGTGAAATAGTGACTTCCGGCAAATTTTTGGTTCTTCCCACATAGTTCCCGTTCTTGCGGGATTTTCGGAATGGTCGAGTTCCCGCAGAATTTTCAGGATAAAACCTCTGTTTCTTTTTTTCGAGGTCGAAACTATATCTGTATAATTTTTAAAGTAAATTTAATTATTTTAAAGAACTTCTGCATATACTACATTTTTTGTTTTATTATCTTGTGGCAGAAAAACATATTGATGTTCGCCACAACCCGATCTTGAGAACGATCAGCACTCGATTCCCGTTGCCGGTTCGCCAAAGTTCGGAAATTCTGTGAGGCTAAATGCTGCGAACGTTCAACGCTTGATTCCCTTGCACGGTTTTGTTCAGTAATTTCTCGTTGAGTAGCCAACCTATGCATATTTTCATCCTCAGTTTCATTGCTGCGCAAGACTCGCAGCCGCTTTGCAGTAGCAGTCTGCCGAGAAAGCTGAGTTCTTTTTCTCGGCATTATAGTGATGAAGAAAAACCGTAGAAAATGAAAATTTAACAAAAGCGTATCTCGTAATAAAAAAAAAGAAACGTAAGATTAATAATTAGGAATCTAATTACTTTTATTTTTAACGATTATGTCAAAAGAACAACCGTAAAATGAAAATAAGGTAAACTAACTTTATGCTTAAACATTACCCTAATCTAATGAGAGTAAATAGGTGGACCACACCTATTTACAGGTTTTATCTAAAGAAAAAAATAGAAACTAAATACGTTAAACTAAACCTTCATCTAATAAGAATAATTTAATCAGAAATTAAATAATTAATAATTAAATTCAGATGGTAAAGTTTTTTTCTAAACTTGCATAGGACTTTTAATTCTCTTCTATACCAAAAAATACCAAATTATTATTTTTTTGCCTGTTTTTCTAAAACTCGTAGCCTTTTTTCTTGACTTTCCACTTTTTCCTTTAATTTTTGATGA